AGGTATTGAAGTACGGACACAAAGAGGTCACGCCATTGCCAGCCTCTTGTGGCCTCTCTTTCCGATGGATAGTCGATTCGTTCCGAGGAAGGGCGAAAGGAAAATGAAACGACCACCCCTAACATGTGGCACGCCCTGGGTTGCAAGCATCATCTATCGTGAAGCTGCTGTGGAAGGCAACATATAGCGGTGATGACACCCCAACATATGAAACGAGGAGCCACCGATAGGTTGCCTTCATATTTGGGAGAGTGTCACGTGTAGTCCCCACGTCGTTACGGGCCATCTGACATGTCGCGTACGTACATACAACCACGTCGCGCGTCGTGCAGGCGACACCACGAGTCTCATGTAACAAACCAACNAACGAGGAGCCACCGATAGGTTGCCTTCATATTTGGGGGAGTGTCACGTGTAGTCCCCACGTCGTTACGGGCCATCTGACATGTCGCGTACGCACATACAACCAACTCGCGCGTCGTGCAGGCGACACCACGAGTCTCATGTAGCAAACCAACCGCAAACCCTGAGTCAAGGCTCCGTAACATGCACCAATCCAACTGAGCGACTCGAAGACGCAGAGAGGGTCGCCAAAAAAAGGCGTCGTAGTCGGCACTGTTCCCACACAACGCGGAGGTTAACTCTCCCTTACCGGAAAGTTCGTTGCCCTGAAGCCAGAGCTGTTCCAACTTGCCGAGACCTCCAAGCTCTCTCGGGATGGACCCTGCAACAATCGAAAGAGCCAAATGGTGATCTCGTTATTGTAGATCGCCGCTGGTGGGCGAGGCGTGGTGAAAAGGAATGATGCGGCCGGCTGGTTGAACATCGGTCCGACCTACCGCGTGGGTGAGACATGAATGGAATATTAATCTTCGCACGCCATCCTATCTCACCAGTGAGCTTGTTGTTGCTCATGTCAAGATTCTTCAGCTCGCTGAGACCTCCAAGCGCCTCGGCAATGAACCCTGCACGGGCGTACAGCAGGTGACCCACTGGTTATCTTGTTGCTGGTGTACTGGGCATGAGGAAACATGTGTCATGCCGCCGGCTTGTTCAACATCGGGCCCGTCTACCTCGTGGGCGAGACACGAAATGAACCCACGTCCCCACGCCATCCTCCCTCACACATGAACTTGGTGTCGCTCAACGCACAAGATTCTCCACACCACACCGATGTAAGTCTCACGTGTGATCGACCCGCATGCGTTCTCCTAGATGAGAATGTCGCCACCCTCTCGTGGCTTCGGGGGACGCCATAGAAGCCAACCAGACCATCTATTGAAACCCTCTAATGGCAACCAAAAGCTCTTGCCGGTGAGCTCGCTCGCGTCCGGACTACCGCGACCAACACATCGACCTGACACTCACGTCAACAGTCTTGAGCCCTCCAACTGCTACATCCTGCCAATCGTCTCACTCTCTCATTACTGGTCGGTAGGGTATCGTTGTTGGTTTAGAATATGATCCAAATCGCGCTGAGTTTTTAGCAAGAGTTTTGAACCCAGATACAAAAAAAACAAAATAATATTATTGCACCTAATAAAATAAAAAAGGGTGACGTTATGAGATCAAACGCTCAACGTAATGGTAATCAATTCTTGCAGGGCACGGAGGCCTCCCTACTCAGACAAAAATTCGACCTGTATCTCCAACAGCATCGTTTCCGGGTCTAGGCCACAATGCCAGGAATACAGGT